TCGGCTCGCATACTGATGGCCTGTCTGTACAGTGCGTCCGCTTCTTCGAGACGTGATTTATTCCTAGCGATCAGATTCGCTAAATTGAGGAATACATTCAAATGAGACGGCGCTACCCGTGCCTGATATCGCTCGCCCGGACGCGGTCGGGGCAGTAGGTCTTTGGCTCTGTTGAACGCCTGTTCAGACATTTCGTATTTATGGAGATTATTGTAAGTGCGGCCGACATTCATATGAGCGCCGATATCGTCCGACTGGACGTCAACTGCTTTCAGGAAGTACTGCAAAGCGTCGGTGTATTTGTGTTGGCCCTCCAAAGCGTGGCCCACATTGTTGTATAGCTTAGCGTTTCGTTTATTGATTTTAATGCCGGCCATAAATATAGTGTATTCCGATTCCCAATCAGAGTTACGAATAAACGTTTTGATTGAATGAAAAATTAGGACAAATACAAGAATCAAAACTAAAAGTCGCTTTTTTGCGGTCGACTTATTTGTGGAGACATTAGTCTTGTCTTCAGATAACATGTGATAAATTCTATGAAATCCGACCCCAAAAAGCATACAAAAACCAAATGATGGCATATATAGTATACGCTCTGCGATCACAAATCCGACGGGAAAGAAGAGATTAGACGCCGGCAGGAAAGGGAATACAATGAATGCCAGACTTATGATGAGAACATGATTTGGAGTTGTATTGTTTGATAGGAATGCTCTCCAAATCAATGCCGCAAAGAATAAATAAAATGCAATTGTGGCCACATTTCTAACATCTAAATACGATTCAATCAACGGAATCGTACCCATAGTCCAGTCACAGCATAAGCCGTCGGGAAATAACATTAACCACGAATTCATTGGCAATAAAAAATTAAATGTCAGCTGACGGACAGGTGTGGGCGCAGAATTGGCCGGATTGTCAAATCTGATCGACAAAAACACATATTATTTTATATGACATATAATGGACATAAAACAGGGATTACTTCGTAAAGACAGGCAATTGTGAGCCCATAATTCGGATTCGAGTCATAATCATGAGACAAGTGGTGGCGAAGAGAACCGATAGCCTTAGGAACGATTCCCTGAGCCAAGAGGGCGGCGAGGCTTTCGACATCATTAGGTTTTGAGCCATAAAAATCATATTTGAAAGATTTAGCTAAATATCAAATAAAAAGCACACAATTCCTGTGAATAACTGAAAACAAGATACGAGAGACAAGTTGTGAGAAAAATACTCACTCTTTGAGCGATGAATACTTCATAGACACCACAGATAGCAATGGCTGGAAAGAGAAAGACATTGTTTCACATAAAAGTTTTTGTGCTTTTATTCGGATAATTAATTGAGAAGTTTGTATTCTAGAAGCGATAGTGTATTTGTTTGATTACCTGTAATGCCCTGTTCTTTAGAGAGGGTCGCCATAGAGACTAATGTGATGGATAGGAGAAACCACAGCCACTCTGAATCAAATTTAGAGCAAAAATTTAATGATAAAAACGCTTAAACTCTCGAAGAGAGCAAAAAAAGAAAAAGTATAAAAGTATAACAAAAGTTACCATAAGTGGTAACAGCTTGAAAATTGCCAACATTTTAATGCGATTTCAAATTAGCTTTTTTGTGCATAAGTTTGCAAAAGTCATAATTCAAACGCTTATTATAAAAGGCAAAAAATATTCTTTGTTTAAGATTTGGCTTTCGATTAATGTTTTGCAGCATAAAAAACAATGAAGTCTTTAAAATAAAATTGTATTCAAAACTATTATACAAAACTAATATTAATGCAAAATCAGAGTAAATTCATTTGTTGTGTACTTTTTATTGATTAATGTTTTGTTTATATTAAATATTTAAGTTTATTAAAGCCAAACAAATGCTTATTTTTAAATGAAAGACTGAGAGAAAAAATCTATAAAATTTCCAATCAAATTCATTATTAACTTAAATTAGGGTTAATTTTATGGAAATAAATTGTTTCAAAACGTTATACAAAGCCTCAAATGTTTGATATGTATGCAGAGCACAGAGTTTGAAATGTTACTACATTTTAATACTCATTTCTATATTAATATCTTTATGTTAAATATAATGAAAAATAAATAAATTCATTACTGAAATATTTATTTTTAATTAATGATTTCATTTTGAGTGCAATACCTGTTTTGGTCCTGTGTTTGGTTGCCCTGACATAAGCCAGAAATGCTAATAAAAAAAATATTGATGAGAGTGTCTCGGCTCGGCCGACAACACTTGTCACCGCTTCTGTATGTATGGGATGTACGCTATGTTTGAAACAACAAACAAATACATAAATATTATGTCATATTATGTGATATACTTTGTTTTTATTGCAAATAGAGTTATATTAATGGGAATTGTATTTTGAAAGTCAAATCACAACTCGTATAATACCTGAAGGAAAGACTGGATATTAACGCAGCGATTGATGGCATAAATAAATTACATAATCTGTAAGAT